TCTATTCTAGGTACCTAGTCCTTTGTTGGATATGTGGTTTGCAAATATCTCCAGTCTGTAGCTTGTCTTGACATCCTCTTAGCAAAGTTTTTCATACAGCAAATTTTCTAATTTTGATGAAGTCTAACCTGTTAACTTATCTTTTTATGGGTCGTGCTTTTAGAGACAGTAGACTTTTTCTTATAGGCCTAAATTGCAAATATTTTCTCCCGTAGTTTTCCTAAAGGTTTTGTAGTTTTATTAATTCTGTGATACATTTTGAATTATTTTTTTATATAGGTCAAGGTTAATTTTTAAAAAAATGAATGTCCAGTTTTTCCAGCACAATTTGTTTCCTCCATGAGTCTCTTTTATGCCTTTGTCAAAAATGAGTTGGGCATATATTTGTGGATGGAGGTCTTTTTGGGTTCTCTATTCTGTTTTATTTATCCATTGTTTTCCTCCACCAGTACCACAAGCTTTTGTTTACCATAGGTATTTATAATTCTTGAATTAGGTTCAAGAATTGAACCTTACTTTTTAAAAATTTTTAAAAATTGGTTTTGCTATTCCTGTTCTTTTGCAAATCTCCACTTAGCGTGATCGTCTCTGTTTCTACAGAAAGCTTGCTGGAATTTTGATAGAATTTTAATTAAACCTGTCTATCAATTTGCAGAGAATTCAGATCTGTCTTACGTTGAGTTGTTGAAGTCATAAAAACCATCTGTCTTTCGGTGATTTTAGATCTTCTTTGATTTTTTCATCAGCATTAAATGTCTTTTCATATCTTTTGTCCTTTTTCTAACTGGATTTTTTACAACATGAAAAATCATTTTGTTCTTTGCATATTCTAGATATGATTTCTGTAAGTGCTTTTCAGCAATTATTTGATACCAGTGGAGTATCTTACAATTCAATTTTTCTTTTATAGTTTTACATTTAAATCTATGATCGTTTTTGAGTTAATTTTTGTATAAGATCTGAGGTGTAAGTCAAGTTTCACATTTTTGCTTATGAATATCTGATTATTTCAGATAGTTATTAAGATTATCTTTTTTTCATTGAGTTGTCTTTGCCTCTTTATAAAAAAATCACTTAGCTATTTTTGTGTGGGCAATTTCTAGGTTCTCTGTTCTGTTCCATTGATCTATGTGTCTGTCCCTCTGATAATACCACACAGTGTCGGTTACTGTAGCTATACAATAGGCTATAGTATCTGGTAGGGTGATTCTTCCCACACTCTTCTTTTTCAGCATTGTTTTAGGTACTTTGCTTTTACCTATAAGTTTTAGAATAATTGTAGCTCTATATACACAATATTTTGAAATAATTTTTATACAATTTGTGTTAAACTTAACACATTAGTTTGGAAAGACATCTTTACTATATTTAGTCTTCTAATCCGTGAACATGGAATATCTTTTTATTTAGATCTTCTTTGATTTCTTTCATCAGCATTTTGTGATTTTCAACATATATATTCTCGACATTTTTTTTTTTCGGTCTTCTGGCTTCTTTCAGTATTTTCTCTTATTCTTTGGTATTCTGAAGTTTGCTTACATTACCCATCTGTTCTAGTATGTTGTGTACTTCTTTAATTAGAGTCCCTTATATTAATTGTAGCTATTTTAAATTCTCTGAATTCCAAAATCTGTGTCATATCTGAATCAGTCTACTCTGATGCTTGCTTTCTGTCTTCAGATTGTGTTTTCTCTTGCATTTTGACATCACTTGTAAATTTTAGGTGAAAGGAAGACATGATACACCAGTAATAGGAAGTGAGGCAAATAGGCCATTTGTGTGAGGCTTTATGTTAACCTTACTAGGAGTTGGGCTGTGCTTAGTATTTGCTGCAGTATAGGTAACAGGGACTCCAAGTTCTTTATTTTTGCCTCCCTTTCCTGTGGCTTCCTTAAGAATCCCTCCTCATATAGAATCTGTACCTTGCAGGTCTTTTAGCTGCAAATTAGTGTCATTTATTATATTGGAGCCCTGTTGATATGTGGTATGGCATGGTGAGGGGGGAAAGTTCTATTATCTTATGACCAAATTTGTCTTTTAGTGGCCCTGTATCTTCAGGCTGACTAAATTTTGGTCAAGCAGAGAATCTTTTTCAGTGCCTTTTATTTCTTTCTGTTGCCTCATTGCACTGGCTAGATCTTCTAGTACTATGATGAATGAGGACATCCCTGAATTGCTACTGATCTCAAGGGGGGAATATTCAGTAACTCACCATTACCTGGAATGTTCCTGTATGTTGCAGATGTTTATCAAGTTGAGGAAGTTCTCCTCTGTTCAGTTTGCTGAGAAGTTTTACTAAGAATGGGTGTTGCATTTTGTTTGATACTTGCTCTGCATTGTGACTGATCCAATCAGAAAGCCTGTTAATGTGGAAGATTATATTGATTGATTTTTTTAATATTGAACCAGCCAGGAATCCTTGGAATAAACCCCATGTGATCATTGTATATAATTTTTTTATATGTTGCTGAATTCTGTTTGTTAATATGTATCTTTAAGGTTTATGCACATATATTCATGAGGAATATTGGTTTATACTTTTTTTTGTCCTTGTCTATATTGTTTTGATACCAGGATGATGGGGCTTCATAAAATTAATTAAATTTAGCAATGTTCCTTCCTTATCTGTTTTCTGGAAGAGATTGCATATAATTTGTATTAATTATATTTTTAATGTTTGGTAGAATTCTCCTGTAATTGACACACTTTCTGTCAATTGGTTAGTACTTTTTCATCCTTACTCTCTTTCCATTCTTCCTGGACTTCCATGACACGAATACTAGATCTTTTGTCTGACTGGTCTCTGAGACTCTGTTTATTTTTTCAGTCTATTTTCTTGCTGTTTTTTCAGATTGTGCAGTTTCTGTTGTTTTATATTAAGTTCCACTGCTTCTTTCCTCTTTCCTCAGTTCTGCTGCTGAATGCACTAATGAAAGTTTTTAAAAATTATTTTTGTCACCAACTCTTTTAGTGCTAAGATTTTCATTGGGGTCTTTTTTGCATCTTCTATTGAGAATTTGTTTCTTTGCTGAGCCTTTTTATTTTTTCGTTTGTCTCAAGCATATTAGTAATTGATTGTTGAAGCATTTTTGTGATGACTGCTTTTATCTTTTATTATTTTTAAAAATCTTTGCCACATAATTCTAACATCTCTCTCTTCTTGTAGATGTCAACTGATTGTCTTTTTTCCTTCAGTTTGAGATCTTTCTGGTTCTTGGTAGAATGGGCTGAATGTTTTTCAGTTGAAACCTGAATATTTCAGATATTATTTTATGCAACAGTGTGTCTTATTTAAGCTGTCTGTTTTGGCTTTCTTCAACAGCACTCTGGTGAAAAGGGGGTTGGAGTTCATCACTTCCAGGTGGCTATAGAAGTCCAGGTTCCATCCTTGTGTCTGTTGACCCTTGGAGGCTGTCTCCTAATCATTGCTGGATAGGGAGGGAGTTCTAGCTTCCCTCTAGGCTCCTGCAGATAGTGCACTGGCTGGACAGGTATGAGTACCTGTTCCCATGGTCTCCAACTATATCATTAGGAGAGGAAGCTCATTATTGTTTAGAGGAAATCAAACTCCTGTCTCCCTCATCAGCACTCTCTGAAACCACCTTAGTTGAGGGATGGGTGCCTTATTGTAGCCCAGTAAGGGTAGAATTTAGGGCTCCTTGCTGAGCCTCTGTGAGCAAGGCAGGTCCACCATTTTATCTATTCTGTTCAGCTAGAAAAGAGTGATTATTGTTTAAAAGTATTCTGTCTTGTTAGGATGCCCCTTTTCTTGTCCTTTAACTAGAGAGAGCAGGCTTCTTTTGAGAATTTTTTAAATTCACATGCATTAGTGTGTCTGAGTTTTTAGCTTCTTCAGTTCCAAATCTGAGATGAAAAGAAAAGAAAAGAAAACCCAAGATACTCATTACCATGTCATCCCTTGGGTCCTGATGCCCTAGCTGGTCTGCCTCTTCTCTAATTCTCACAGTCCTTTTATGATTGTTTTACATATAATATCCAGGGATTTTAGTTGCACTTAGCAAGAAAAGTAGGGACAGGTATCCAAAATATTTGGGTCATGAACATTTGGAACTTAAAGATATGATTACAGATAGAATTCAGTGGCGTGGAGTGTTTTCCTGTCTTTTACAGGCTTATTTGCCACAACTGATTTCTAAGCAGTTCATGCTTTGAAGAAGTCCACACCTGACCAGTCATTTCTTCCCATCATTTTCCTACCTGCCTCTGACATATGTGCAGAATGACATTATTTTCTAAAAGCATGCTGCAGGAGATGAAGACTGCCTCCCCCAGCCTCAAGTCCAACAGAGAATCATATTTCTGAAGTGGAAGAGAAGAATCTGTTATTGGAAAAATTATTTGCACTTGCAGGTAGAGAGTATTGCACCATAAAGAATGAAGCACAGGTAACTTGAATTCAATTGCTGCATGTCTGGAATGGAAGAGTGGAAACTTATATTTGGGAGGAGTAAAAGACTGAATTCTTTTTAAAAATTATAGTTTGCAAACTCATAAGATCTATCTAGGGTTAAAAAAATCCGTAGGGCACTGAAGTTTTATTCCCTTGTGATAGTTTTCCCCATAATAGTTGGTAATATATGAAATATAAGTTTCTCATGATTCAAATACAGGAATCACAAGCTAAAGAAAAGCCAGTAATAGTTTGCCATTTGGCAACAGTGGATTAAAAATAATAGACTTGAATTCTTTTAGGCTCATCCCATATTTCATATGTCCCCTGTTGTCTATACCCCTACCTTTCACACATTTTGTTACCAACCTGAACTTTACAAAGCACATGAGATACTTACCTTTGTGCTCAAGTCAATCCCGAGCTTGGAGAGTAGACAGACAGGTTCCAACTCTAGTCTGGCCATTACTACCTATGTGAGACCAGGTAAGTTATCAGTCTAAGCTCCTTATCTATACACTGAGGGAAATAATATCACCTGCCTTAGCGATAGTTCTTATGCAGACATATTGCAATATCGATGCATAAGTGCTCACCATCATAATCATTACTGTAGTGAGATATCACAACAGACGGGGCAGAATATTAGACTGTGCACAGTGTCAGAAGTTCTGATGTTTGATAGCAGCTCCCCACATGTCCTGTCCATGGAGGTCCCTTGCTGAATATAAATGACAACCAGCTTGTTCCATGTGCACTCATTCATGCTGCATGGAGTCCTGCCTCACTTTCCTGAGTGAAGTGGGTGGTGGTCTTACCTTCTTAGTCAGCTCACAAGTGCTTCCTGGGCATCCACTTCTATACACAGGCTCTGGCTTCTGGCTATTAAACAGTGAACCAGACCATGAGCTGGCTCTTCAGGTTTTTTCCCTTTGCTTTCTTGGGTCAGATGAAGTTTTCAGGTGGGAGGAACTTCAGGGATGCAGGTGGAAGGGGAAATACAGCTGCGAGGAATAAGACCTGAGCTGAAAGCTATTTAATACATGGAAAACGGTCTGATTGATTTAGGGTAGTAGATTACACCAGGACAGAGAGAGAGGAGGGAGATGAAATATACCTGGATCTGTAAATTAGACACTGAAGGACATTGTGCAACAGTGGGTGGACCGCACCCATGGAGGGGGGGTGTGTCAAGTCTGTCCTCTAGTGCTGAGCCCGTCAATTAAAACCCAAACTGATCCTGTACCTGAGAGTCCATGAAGAAGTGACTGTTAAAGATGATTTTCCCTTATTCCATGTTTGTTTTGAAGTGATTTTTCATTTACTCTCAAATTATACCTGTAAATACTGTTTACATTTGCTTTATGTTAAAGATTTTGTGCAATTATAGCAGTAATTAAAAGGAATTACAATAATCATCCCTGTTTTCATAAGATTTCTATGTGAGAGAGACAAATTATTTTATCTTCACCATGGACCTGGGGTGAGTTTCTTTGTAAATAATGTGCCAAGGGTAAGAATAAACTGCTATGTAGCTAAATTAAAAATTTAATAACAAGTAAATGACATTATTGTCAAATATTAAAAAAGGGAAACTAAAACCTTCATTATTTCCATGATAAACCATGTCATTTGGGGAATACCTCCATGTTAGGTGAACATATCTTACAGCTGAAATTTTTCATATGGCAAATTACTACCTGAATACTTATTTAGAGAATGGTCTCTCGTTTCACTCTAGTTTGAAAGGTGTTGTCTTTAAAGCCATCATGTTTCTCACCCATACACACTGCCCACCTGTTTCCACCAAAGTGCTGTACTTCATCAGCCACAGGCCATTGTAGTAAGGAAGTCACGTGCAGTGTTCTCTCCACACTGCTCATTTTGCTATAGCACCTACCAAGGACTTTATTTTTTATTTCCTCCTCCTCCTTCCTCCTCCACGCCCTCCTCCTCCATGTTCTACTATAAAGTTTATATTTATCTAAGCAATTTAATTTTTATGGTTAAAATAATAAGATAATACTGAAAGACTTAAAAGAAAAATACAGGCCAGGCATGGTGGTTCATGCCTGTAATCCCAGCACTTTGGAAGTACGAGGCAGGTGAGTCACTTGAGCTCAGGAGTTCAAGACGAACCTGGCCAACGTGGTGAAACCCCGTCTCTACTAAAATTACAACATTTGGCCAAGTGTGCTGGCGTGCACTTGTAAACCTAGCTACTGAGGAGGCTGAGGCATAAGAATCGCTTGAACCTAGGAGGTGGATTGCAGTGATCTGAGATTGCACCACTGCACTTCAGCCTGAGTGACAGAGTGAGACTCCGTCTCCAAAAAAAAAAAAAAATCTCCCTCCATCCTGCCTGAACCTGGGTCACTTTCCATTTCCATTCTTTAAGGAATTTCTTCTCTTATTTCCGTGATGTTCCTAGTAATATCCTTATATGAACACTTGATTATTCATTCTCAGCTACATTGATGCCCCTCCTTGAAACATTAGACTTTCCCTCTCTTACACTCTACGCTTCCTCCCCTTGTGTTCCCCCCGCCCACCTCCCAAGGCAATCCTGAACCAAGATTTGGTCAGATACACATTCCCTGCTTACAGTGTTACAGTCATATAATTACTGAACTTGCAGAATGTCCCAGTGTGACCTGCTTACCTTTTGGGGAGGAGGTCGCATAGATTATGTTTGTCCAGAAGGTGATTAACTCCCTTTGAAAGAAAAGAATGTCTGACATCCAAGCCACTGTAGTGTTTTTTTGGCAGCTCGGATGGAAGCACACAGCTCTCTCCATGGGTTGGATGGCTTTAGCCAGCCTCCATGGCCAGAGTGCCTGATCGCTCTCCCTCCCATTCCCACAGGGCTGCCTGCCACGGCAGCCCACCTGAACCCCTCACTGTCATCCTGCAAGACCCTCCTGCTCTTTCTGGGTGGACTCCCTGGTTTCCTGGACCAGGTCTTCCCAGTCTCGGTCATTCTGCTTCCTTACTTTGGTGGGGAATATTCTCCAGGAATCTTCTGAGGAATGTTGCATGGACGGTAACTTTGTGAATGGGTAGAAAATAATTTCCCCCGAGAGTTGTGCAAACATTGATCCACTGCTTGTGGGTGAGTTCTGGGCCATCTTTCCTTAGATCAGTCTGATTGTGAGCTGCTTCTTGTCCCAGCCCCCTTTATCCTCAGCCACAACCAGAAAGGTCTTCTCCCTTTTATTCTGGAATTTCAAATGGTAGTATTTCTGATTTTATTTTCATTATGCCAAGGACTAGGCAAGTCTTAACTATATGTAAAGTCAAGTTGTTTGATTGTTCAGATTGTTTGGTATTATTTCTTTGATAATTCTTTTATGTTACTACTTTTCTCTTTTATAAGGCTTCTCTTTTTGGTTTTATACTGGTTTTTGGGAAATCCCTTCAAATTTACCTTCTAACTACTGATTTTTTTTTTTTAAATTTCTGAAGGATCTTTCTAATACTTAGGATGTTTCTTTTTTACAGCATCCTCCCATTATTTCAATGACCCAGTAACTTTTTTTTCTCTTTCGGAGGATCTTAACCATAGTTTCTGGAAGTATTCTTCTGGTCTCACATTGCTTCCATTTGTTCTGGAGTACGTCATTCATGATACAGCGTTTCCCCACTGGCCTCTCATTAATAAGTACATATGAAACACTCATGGCTGGTTGGAAGTTCTCTGTGGGCCTCATATTAGGATGAAGACTGGGATTTCAGACAGGTACTGCTTGTTAGGATTTCCAGGTCTTTTTACTTTGGCTTGTTAATTTCCCCAGATGGAAGATTTTTTTTTTCTATTAATTTGTTGCCTGGGAAGTTGCAAACCTACAGACAAAATGCTGGGAGCCTATCAAGGAAAGGGGCTGGTGCACCCACCTGTTGTCTCTGTATGTCACTGAATCCAGGGTCTCTCTGAGTCCGCCTCCGGTCACCAGCTCTGTGGCTCGGGAATCTTGAGTTCTAACCCTTTCTTCTGTTTTGGACCCATTGTATGTAACTACTTAGAGATACATGGAACCTCCAACTCCTGTGGTGCTTCAGGGTTTCCCCTGTCAAAACCTGTGGTGGTCTGAGATGTTACCTTACTTGAAAGCTAGTAAGTTGGCCTGCCATAGTGTCATGGGTTCTGGAAGAAGACAAGAGATGCCTAGGTCAGAGACAAAGGGCATTGTTACACAGCAGGCATTGTGAGCTTCATGTTTGCCTCTGTTCTCCTTGCCCCCCCGAGTTCTATGGGGGCAGTGTGAAACAGTCAACAGTTTGTGCCACAGCAGAGGAACCCTGAACTTAGGAAACCTCCATCTTTTATAATGTCTGTTTCATTTTTTAACGATGCTTTTTAATGAAGAAAAGCTCTTAAAGAAGTTCAATTTGCATGCCAATGTTTTTTCTTTTATGTTTAGTGTTTTTGATGTCCTATTTACAAGATATTTGCTTATTTAAAAGTCATATGCATTTGTATTTGCTTTTTTCTTAAAATTTGAATGTGGTAGCATTTTGAGTATATTAGCATTCACATTTTGGTCTATAATTCACTTCAAATTAATTTTTACTTGTGGTATGAGGTAAGAGTCAGGGTTCGTGTTTTTCTCTTTGTATTGATATCTAGTTACTACAGGAGCACATATTAGAAAAATTAGTTTAAAGCATGTGCAGAATCTTAAACACCAGGAGGGTGATACTGTAGTTAATATATCACTGCTTCTATAAACTAAAGGATGTGAAACCTAATGCAGCTGCCATTATTGTGTGCTACCAAATGACAGGCTCTTCAAGGGAAACAAAGATAAAAGATACCCTCCCTGTCTTTAAGGAACTTAAAAATATATGCATAGAGATAAACTTTACCCATACACTGTAATGTTATTTGTAAAAGTGAAGGGAAAAGTTATGCAGTAAAACTGATAACATGATTCTCTAAGACTGTTTACAGCTTATTAGTACTGAAGTTGTCCCATCTGACCCAAAATATCCAGGGATGCTTAGGAAAAATTAAGGATATAGGAAGAATTGTGTATTATGACATATTGAGGAATTTCCTGGGAGAGAGCCCAACCCAAGGAAAGCTGTGCCCGGGAAAGATGAACTTGATTCATTAGCAAAGCTTTGGTCCACAGAGTTAGGGATCATTCTGAGTGTAGCATATGGTACTCTGTTCTCTCCTTGGGTACCTGAGAAGGAGGTGGTAGGGGGAAAGCTAAAGTTATTTCACTGAAATCATGGTAAGGTATTGGTGTGGTAAAGCAGCCATACTTTTGGCCTTCTTACATACGGGTCTGTACAAAAGGATAAAGTGAATGTCTCCTCCCTGTGCCACTGGGCAGCTTTGGTCCTCGTGGGCTACATGGAATGGTAGTGGCACCTTTTCGACGTGGTAGGCAGGTGCCAGATTGGATGCAGTACCTGGTGGTAATGGATATCAGTGGTATCCAATGGAGAAACACGCCAAATGGAAAAGGGAGTGCCTAGCGTTTTCTGGAATAGGAATAGAGAAAGAAAATGGGCATCACATGGTGACTGGTCAGAGACTGGACTGGGCTTGCTCCTTAGCATGTGGGAAGCATCCTCTGATGCCCCGAGATACAGCTGATGAGCTGAAGAAACACTGGCAGGAGGTATGAGGGTTCTGCATTCACGGTTGGGATAAAGGACCAGCAGAAAAGTAGCTTGCACACATGAGGGTAAGGCAGCATCATTGTTTTTAGAATTTAAAACATTGACATCCTCCTCCTTATTTGATCTTAGTAACAACCCCAGGGACTGCAGCTGTTTTCTAAAACAAAGAGCTCCACGTGATCACGTGGAGGTTATGAGATTCACCTGTAATCTTAGTAGGTGACCCAGCTCTGGAGCCTGGGCTGGTGGCCATCACTTTCACTCTATTCTTCTTGCCCTCGCCAGTCTCAGTGTCCCATGTGGCTGCTCCCCCCATTACCTCTCAGCTCCGCGGATCCACCTGCCTACCAAGCCCCGTCCCAGACGAACTCTACTGAAACACACCTCTTACCACGTCTCATTTCTGCTCAGTATCCTCAGAGACTCCTACTGCCCTCTAAATTAAATCTAGGCTGGGCACCGTGGCTCATGCCTGTAGTTCTAACACTTTGGAAAACCAAGGAGGGAGGATTTCTTGAGGGCAGGACTTGAGTTCAGCCTGGGCAGCTTAGCCTCAGCCTCCCGAGTAGCTAGGACTGCAGGCGCATATCACTCTGCCCAGCTAGTTTTCCTGTTTTTTGTATAGACGGGCCTTGCTATGCTGCCCTGGCTCCAGAGTGGGGTCACCTACTAAGATTGTCGGCAAATCTCATAACCTCCGTGTGATCACGTGGAGCATTTCGGTTTAGAAAACGGCTGCAATCTCTTGGGCTGTTAATAGCATCAAATAGTTAATAAGAGGCCAAGACCAGAAGATCGGTTGAACCCAGGAGTTTGAGGTTACAGTGAGCCTGGGATTGTACCACTGCACCCCAGTGAGACCCCATCTCATAAATACGTAAGTCAGTACTTCTCAGCATGGTGGCCATATCCACACACCATTTTTTAGTCTCTGACTCTCTTTTATTCTCCAGCCAAACTCACTGATTTCAATTTTCCAAACCTCTTGAGTGTCCCCAAAACTTTTGTGAACTTACCTCTCCTAATGCAAGCATCACTCTCTACCATGCGTGAGTGGGCTTGCTTGTCTTAACCATTCCACGAAGTGAACGTCTGTGTGGCAGGGAACGTGCAGGTCTTCTGGGCACTTCTCCCCTGCAGGGGCTGGGGGGCCTGTGACGGGGCCACTGTCACTCAGCTGCACCTAGGAGCCGACCAATTCAGTTACGGGGGGATGGGAAGAAGGAAATGTCAGAGGGACCCATGTCCACGTCCGCAGGCAAATTTTTATTACACATAGAATAAATTAGAATGCTTCACACATAAACATTCCAAAATTATTTTCCCACTTTTACTTTGAAAATGTTCAAATGTAAAGAAAAGCTGAAAGAATAGTGTAATAGACACCTATTTACCCTTTACCTGGATTCACTGATTGTTATTCTTTACCACGTTTACTGTCTCTCCAAACACACACACACACACACACACAGCTTCTCTGTTGCTAATTCTTTGAAAGTAAGTTGCAGACATTACATGTCAGCCCTGAATATTTCACATGTACCACCTAAGAATGAAAACATTCCCCTGCATCCTCATAATACAGTAAATCAAAGTTGTCATTTAGTATCGAATCCACAGTCCAAAAATACTGCCACCCCTAATATTACTATTAATTGGCATTAGCACATTGGTGTTAGTATTAGCACACAGGACAAATGCTGCTGCTGGGTTCTCAGTTGCAGCTGAAAGATCTTTCATAGCTGTGTTGGTTTGATCCAGGAGTCAAAGCTTCACCCTTGACATTTTTACTTGTTGTGTCTCTTCAGGCTCTTTTGATCTAGATGGGCGCCCTCCTATTCAATTTGATGTATTTGTCATGGCATTTACTTTCCTGAAGATTCCCGGGCAGTGATCTGTTAGATGGGTAAAATGTCCGGCATTCTGCAATGTCTCATTCCTCTTACCGTGATGAGGTTTACGTGGAACCTTTTGTGGCAGTAATATCACATTGGTGAAATCATTTTAAACATTAAGTATCAAGTATTGCACTGACTACCGTTTTGAAAGGGGGTCTTTGCGTCATAATCTGTACACATTCATTAGTTCTTTACGAACTAAGGAAGTGATGTTAACACAGGTGGGCTTTCTCTCAGTGGAAAGTGATGTCTCTCGTGTCAAGCGACGTTGCTTCATGAAGTGTTTAGAAAGGCAGGTCCAAAAGCAGATCAGTAATCAATCTTGGATAAGAACTTTTTTCAAACCATTCATATACGTCTTCTCCAAGACATCTAGGATGGCAAAAGTGCTTCTAAATATTTTTACTGGCGACACTTGAAAAAATATAGAATTTAGAATTTGACATACCAAAAACTGATGGTTCTTGAGATCAACCATTCAGGGCTATTTAGTTGCTTCTCCTAGATAATTTTCTTTCCTTTTTGCCTGATGTGAGGCAGGTGGAGTAGGGCTTCATGCCAGAATACCTTGTGACGGGTATTAGACAGCAGTGCTGGGGAGGTCACCTAACCCAGCACTCCAACTCCGCCCAGCCGCTAGTCCCCACCAAGCGCATGATGACCTCCATGACACAGCCTCTGTGTCAGAGCATCTTTGACCGTTGAAATGCTGGAAAATTCTGTGTGAAAGTGTCTTGACTCTTTCACTGGTCAGTCCAGGTTCTAATTCTTGTCATGCTTTGTCCACCTTAAAACCTTCAAACATCTGAAGATTGCTCTTAGGTTCTCCAAGGATGTTCTTCTCCAGTGTCAGCATCCTGAGCTCCTTCTGCCTTTCCTCCTCAGTCTCCCAAGTGCATGCTTTCTGCTGACTTTCTCCTTAACGTGTGTGCTCTAGCATTCTGTCTCCCCTCTCTTCCTTTCTCTCTACAGTTCTTTCCTCACACGTTTATTTAAGTCTGCCGTGCACACGTCATGCCTGTGAAAACCGAGACGAACTGCTGGTCCTTAGGGAGCTCACCAGTCAGTGAGGGGAGGATCAGGCCAGCAGAGGATGCTAATGACAGCGAGATGGCATCTGTCTGGGGCACCTGTCACACCTGTCACAAAGGAGGAGGTGGTCGCTAGCCCTAGAGGAAGAAAAGGCAACCTCAGTATTGGAGGAGTGGCTGTTTTCTAGGGAGGGGTGGGCGTGGCATAAGTCCAAGGAGGGGGAGATAGAAGAAGACATGCAAAACTACAAAGCTGGGGAGAGCAAGATACCAGAGAGGGGGATGGGGTGGGACGCAGCGAACCAGCACAGTGAGCCTTCTGAGCCTTTCTCGGTGGCTCTGACTACGTCTTTAGGCAATGCGAAGCTTGCAGAATGAGATTCACATTAGAGAGTAGTAATAGGGACAGACACACCTTTTATTTTAGAAGGAAATTGGATGGAAAATGCACCCATATCCGTCTCCATATGAGACAGTGAACTTTCTCAGCTAATGTTCACTTATAACAGAGGGGGAAAAGTACAAAAAGAAGTTCTTCTTTTCTTTGAACAGTTTTTCTTACAGTATCTCAGCTGATTGCAAATAGAATATCACCATTAATTCCATTTTATTATTGATTTGCTCTTTTGAAA